TTTGAAAACATACTATTTACAAAGAAAAAAATGGTTAATTAGAGAAATAACAAAAGAAGGAGTAATTCTTTAGTAAAACAATAGATTGTTTGCTAGTTTGCTAATTTGGTTAAAAATCTTTGTTAGACCACCCAATTTATTTCTTTAATTTCTCTAATAATTATAGTAGTAAATATATACTCTATTGTAAAAGATATATACGCTTGTACTTGTACTATGGTCAGATAAATTCTCTTGTGTAGAATTAAAATAGAAACAAACTACAATGTATTAAAAGGAACAAAAAAGGTTGAGCTTCCGCATCGAGCGGTGCACTGTATATCCGATAAAAAGCAAAGAGAATGTCAAAGGCCATCATCAAAAGAAAATTTTTGCAGAAGAAGGAAAAAGGAGAGAAAAAACATGGGTCTTCGTCTCCGTCTTCGTCTTCCTCACAAAAACTCTCCTCGTTCACCTTCCTATCTCCTTATATGCGTTCTTGCTCTCTCCTTCTTCTCCTTCACCGCAGTTATTCTCCATAAGGTCTCTACTGCTTCTTTTCCTTCACCAATTTGATATTGAATTTACGTATATTACCTAATACGGATCTGTTCTGGGAAAAGTTGTTCACTGAGGAATTTGTCTGAAAGCTGACAAACTCTACTCGGAATCATGGTTTTTTTTATGTTATTTGTTTTCTCCGTGATTAATGGATCTGATGAAAGATTTCGAGCTGAATTAGTATTCATTGCTCTGAAATCTTAAACACGTGATTCTAAGAAGTTTTGTCTCATTGGGTAATTTCGTCGAACAGGTGGACGACTTTGTAGCTCAGACAAAAACTCTAGCGGGACATAACTTAGAACCAACGCCATGGCACATCTTCCCACGCAAATCTTTCAACGAAGCTACGACTTACAGAATCCTCCAATGCTCTTACTTCTCATGTCCGTTCAAAGCCGTCGTCGAACCAAAGAGTCTTCTGTCGGAATCTCGGTCTGGTCGTCGAACCCAGCAACCCCAATGTCCCGACGTTTTCAGGTTTGTCTGAATTAACCAATTTAATCGATTACTCAAAAATTGGTTTTTTTCACATGGCTTTTGGTATTGGTGTGTAAACCGTTGATATGATTGATTTGGTGAAAAGCCAGGTGGATTCACCGGGACTTAGAGCCATGGGCTAAAACAGGGGTGACTAAAGAGCACCTGAAGAGGGCGAAAGAGAATGCTGCGTTTCGAGTGGTAATACTATCCGGAAAGCTATACGTGGATCTTTATTACGCGTGTGTGCAGAGCAGAATGATGTTCACCATTTGGGGGATTCTGCAACTACTCAACAAGTATCCAGGGATGGTTCCTGATGTCGACATGATGTTTGATTGTATGGACAAACCCATCATCAACCGGACCGAGCACCAGTCGTTTCCAGCTCCGCTTTTTCGATATTGCACCAATGAAGCTCATTTGGACATTCCTTTTCCGGATTGGTCTTTCTGGGGCTGGTACGTATCTCTTTTTTGACCGACTCATCTGTTGTTACTCAAACTCTTGTTGAATCTGAGTGTTGTGGTGAAGGTCGGAGACAAATCTGAGGCCGTGGGAAGAAGAGTTTAGAGATATAAAGCAAGGGTCTAGGAGAAGTAGCTGGGACAACAAGCAACCTAGAGCTTACTGGAAAGGGAATCCGGATGTTGTATCGCCTATAAGAATGGAGCTCATGAAATGTAACCATTCAAGGTTATGGGGAGCACAGATTATGCGCCAGGTTCGCTTCACTTACATGCCTCCTCAATTATCCTAATCAGATAGTTTTGTATAGTGATGTTCATGTGTGTTTTTCAATACAGAACTGGGAAGAAGAAGCAAAAGGTGGGTTTGAACAATCCAAGCTCTCCAACCAGTGCAATCACCGGTAAGTCCCAAGGGAAACCCAAGTTATATCATATATGAGTGGAGGATATGAAAAAGGATCTAATTTGGTTGGGATTCCTTGCAACATTAGGTACAAAATATATGCCGAGGGCTACGCGTGGTCGGTATCTCTAAAGTATATCCTATCATGTGGTTCCATGACACTCATAATCTCACCGGAGTATGAAGATTTCTTCAGCAGAGGCCTCCTCCCCAAGGAAAACTACTGGCCTGTCTCTCCCACTGATCTATGTCGGTCCATCAAACACGCCGTGGATTGGGGCAATACCAACCCCTCTGATGTATATATTCCACATTTCTCATCAAATTGTTATCGGTCTACCAGATTATTATTCATGTTGCTAAGACGTGTTCTTTTGATAGGCTGAAAGAATAGGAAAAACAGGGCAGAGTTACATGGAAAGCATTAGTATGGACAGGATTTATGACTACATGTTTCATCTCATCACTGAGTACTCAAAGCTTCAGAAATTCAAACCAGAGAAGCCATCTTCGGCTAAAGAAGTCTGCGCAGGATCATTACTTTGCTTCGCAGAACAAAAAGAGCGGGAACTGCTCGAAAGATCCAGAGTCGTAGTACCTTCTCTGGATCGACCATGTAAACTCCCAGATGCAGATAGGAATAGGCTTGAGAGGTTGATCCAACAGAAGAAGAAAGCAATCGAAGATGTAAGATACATGGAGACAACAAGAACAGAGAAGGGTTCCAGATAAATTGTCTTTTCTAGAACATAAATTTTGGGTATATCCTTTTCTTACGGCATATGTGTATTCATCAGCTGTAGCATGAGATGATACTTGATTACGACTTGATTTGTAGAATAAAGAAACCATAACCTCCCAGTTACACGGCTTAATAATTCAGTCTGACTAAGATCTTCAAAAGTAACAAACTAGACCCATAGGGTACAAAATCCTAATCTCTTGGTATTGAAGGAACTTAAGTGACACCGGAACAACGTAAAAACTGAACACCAGCTATTGAAATTCAGTCGATCACGTATGCTCGACTTGGAAACATCGGATTATTCCAAATATCGATCAAAACCCCACAGCAATGAAAACTAACCAGCATAGTCAGGCCGATCAAATCCTTCAGATTCACTCAGGTGCATTGTCATACTCTTCATCGTCAAGCACTTCATACTCGAAATCTTGGTCTCTGTTCTCCATGGTTTTCCCAAATGTAAACGCCTTTGTACCCATTGTTGTGAAAGGCATCAGCCCAAATGCACGGGCTGTTTTGATCTCTCTAGCAATCTTCCTTTGTGCCTTGGCGCTAATGCCAGTCTGTGCAAGAGATAAATTGAAAAAGGGATTTCATCATGTGGACTAGGAAAACGTCATCGCGTAATGTAGAAACCAAGTTAGATAAAAGCGAGAAACATCAAATATGACCTGCTTCCTCTGAATGATGATCCCAGCTTCAGTGATGAACTGTGCAAGGAACCTAACATTCTGTCCAACAAAACATATTTCACAAGTGAGTACAAAAACAACAACAGAGCCTCGCATATGTAAACTATATCAACCATAGAGACTATCTCTCATTGACCCGGACCAACAAAAAAGGCCATAAAACATATGCTGCACTGCTTCTAAAACATATGTAATCCAATGACACTCACCCTGAAATCAGCGTTCTCCAGAACTTGCTTGGTAGTTACCTCAGACTTGTTATTCTGTCTAGGTCTTTGCATCTGCTTTCTATAGTTCAAATCCTGCATGAAACAGAAGAAATGACCTTAAGTGTCTCTCTGATCAAATCAAGCAAGAAAAGAAAAACTACAGACTCGTACCATCCCTGTAAACCCAAGCTAGAGTAGATCACACTATACATGACTAGACATTCGAATAACATGAATCCAAATCATAGAGTGATAATACAAATTCAATCATAGACCAAGATTAACTAGAGTAGAATGCAACACTTTCATATGATTGCTACAAATTGATTCAGTAACACTTTTGAATCCAATACCTTAGGGAAGTGATTAACGCCAAACCTGTTGAAATCGGGCCTGAAAAAGTACCCATCCTTCACGCCTTCATCATCTTCCAAGTTGTTAAACAGTGCAGCTTCTTTCAATTTTCCATCAACGCCATCTGATGAAGGATCAAAGCTCTCGTCCCTGTTCGAGGAGCCACCACCGGAGAATCTCGACCCGCTTGATGATCTATTAAAGCCTGTGTAATCACGCTTATCTTTCTCCGCCTTACCAAGATGCTTGTAGAAACCATTGCTGTTTTCATCGTTGCCAGTAAATCCGCCAAACATAAAATCGTCCAACGACTCGAAAGAGTTTCGATTCTGGCTCGGATCTGCTCGATTCGATTCGGTGGTTAGGCTAACGAAATCGGAGATTATGGATAAGAAATGGTGGAAATGTAGAATGGTTTACCTTCTTTAGCGTTGGTCGAGAGGCTTCTAGAAACGATAGGAGGACATGGTCTAAGGGAAGATACGTCGGTAAGGGAACGAAAAGCGAAACGGGCGATTCTCATCGTCTTTGAGCTTAGGGTTTTGCGGTTTTCAGTTTCCCGATCTGAGGTTTTGGCAAAGAAGCAGAAGGGTCGTCTGAAAAAACACGAAGATGACGATAGAGAGATGACAGTTCAATCAAGTGAATAAATGGGCTGATAAGGCCTCTTTCTTATTTATCTTTTATTGACGAAGCCCATTGTTTTTAACTTTTTTTTATGGTGTGTGAAAAAAAAACTGAAAACCATTTAAAATTTTTATAAAATTCTCACACATCTATGAAAATAATGATCTCAATATATTTTAGCATCTACATTTCCATCAGTGTAAACACAATTACCATTAAAAAAAAAAAGGTCGAGAAGTTAATATCTAAAATTCACGATAATGTACAGGGAAATTATTGCCAAAAAAGTTTGGTTTGCCTCATAGTTAGGCACATGTCGACCAATATTTGGATTCGGGGCAGGCACCAAACAAACAAAAAAAGCTCACTTTAAAGAAAAAAAACATAAGTCGTAAACTTTTATTTTCGACGATTGGATTAAACTTTGGACCTCCTTCATCAACTAAAATATTAGTTTTGACGGCCAAATTATCAAAAAAAAGCAGGTCACTACGCACACACTTGACAAATAAACAGACACCCTGTTTATGTACTTGTCATTAACTTACACGACAAAGATCTTTCTCTATCTACTAAAAACATTCATAATCATTAAACGTGGATTTATCGATCTCAATTTTTCTCTATTACTTATTTATTTTACATAAACCATAATTACGGAACCATGTCTCCGCAACATATCTTAGAATCAAATAACTTACAGTAAAAACATATTCTCACCATTCTAAACTTAATTTTTTATTTCATATTATTTGTAGTTTTATATTTTCAATGCATATTTATAACTAATTTTTTCACTTTTATCCCTACTTTTAGCTTATTAGTGATGCAT